TTTCCCTCTTGGCTCTCAAATTTCTCTTTTCCTTACCTGTTAGTGGTTTACTTAGTCCACAGGAAATGTCTTTCTTTTAAGCAAATACTGATATTGTTTGTCATTGCAATTCTGAGCAAATGAAGCAGTGGATGATGAGTATTGCTTGGTATTTCTGAAGTAAGAGGTTTTTGTACTTTAAGGAAAACCTGCTGAATCCATGTTTCATCTCACATTTTAATTTACTTTTCCATCTGTGCTTGAAGTCTGGCAGTTAGCTGAATCTGCCTGTTAGCTGAATGCAGGAATGATGGTTTCCCATGATTTTAAATGATTTTACCTCTTACAAGAACTTTTGGGGAAAAGGGGAAGTGGTTGAGCAGCACTGGTAACCAAAATGGTATCTAGGAGCATAAAGAATGTGGAAAGTCTTCATTAATCTAAAATTGTGCAAAAAACCAAGTTTAGAACTCTTAAGACCTTGGTGTAGCATCTTAAAATATGTCTCTGTGTTTTATAATTATTTCATATATATCTTTTTTCCTAGGACAAATTCCTCTGTGCAGTTAGAATATTACTTGAGAAATGCTTGCAGTTTCTATTGATTATATTCTTTGGGGTGGAGAAGCAAAGTGAGCAACAAAACCTCTTGTGTTTGCTGTTTCAGCATCCCCTTCTTGGCCATCAGTTGCTTTCAAGAAGTTACATGCAAACCAGTTTATTTTCACAGCAGTTAATAATTGTTGCTTTTTGTAACAGTCATTTTTATCTCAGTCTCGATGATAAACCTTTAATAAGACAGAAGGATGTTGCAAATAGAAACAGATCCAAGATGAGGAAGAAAAATTGTAGAGGAGCTGTGTGATGTGGAATTAATTTATTCTGCATAATTTACGGTTTTAAAATAGCACATATTTTATTTTTTTGAGTAAAATATTAATTCTGGAATAGTTTAGAAAATTAATTTATGTTACTTTATGTTAAAAAACTTGTATTGAAAGAAGCAAATACTGCTCTGCCTCATTTTTGAAAACTACTAAACACTTATTTGGAGCCCTTATTCGGAGCCCTTATTCATTAAGTTTATGCCAGTTAAAAAAGTTCCTTGGGTGCTCAGCTAGAACTCTGAGCTCCCAAATGGAGACATGATACAGGATGAGTTAATGACGAGATAAAAAAGTGTTATTATTTCAATAGAGAGGATGCCACTGAATCCTTATATGGGATTCCAGCTTCTTGGCCAGTATTTCCAAAATCTTAATCTTTGCGTCTAGAAGGCAGAAAAATTTTGCCTCTGTACTCTTGCTCCTGCCAGTTTCCTGTCCTATATTTCCTCTGTGTTCCTCCTGTAAGATGGGAGGAGTTTTTCTAGGCTAATTGTACATGCTTGTAAATTTTTGTCAGTGTAGTAATATCAAAGATGGTGTTGTATCTCTCTGTCAATGCTGCATTGGCAAAAGGTTGAACATAGTCAAGTTTTGCTGATTAAAAAGTGATATTAGTATAAACTATGATTAAAGGGATTTGGTGGCTTAGTCATGCCAACAAACATATTCCATTGTATGCTTATCCTTTTACTTGCTCTTGCATAGCAAGTTGTCGGTTTGGGAAGCCTGTCTTTACATTACATGCCTACTTCAACATCTTTGAATTAATGGCACCGGTGAATATCCCTGTTCCTTCTAGCTCTTAATTGCTTAAATTTGGTGGATGATACTGTATAGGATCTTGAATGGCAGTTGTAAAACTAGTCAGACACTTGCTTTGTTTTCTTGTTGCTCTGTGAAATCTATAAATTCTGGTGTCTGCAGGCAGACTATTAAAGACTGGTATGCATCTCTGTTCTATGTGTGTTCTTTTGAATTGTTTTAATACAGAAGTTCAGAAACACTTTTTAGTGCATGATTAAATTCTGAAGAAATTCTTAGAGCATCTTATTTTCTGTGGCTAACTTAAGACTGCCTTGAGAGTGAGGACCTACTGCTATTTTTAATCTCTTTCCCCGATACAGTGGCATATTTTACTAAGCATGAGAATAGCCCTGAAAACTTTTATTTTGTGTTGGTTGGCTTGATTTTCTTTTGATTCCAAGGGCTAGAAAGGCTAAGGAAAAATAAAAGTAAAAATCCTTCATCTATTTTGTTACAGTAACAACTTATATAAGAAGAAAATGTAGGGTTTTTGACAGAAAGTTTTATGATTGCTTTATTCATTATGATTCTATGTGGGTTTAGTGGGCATGGTGGCATTGGGTGTACGGTTCGACTTGATGATCTTTGAGGTCTCTCCAACCATAACGATTCTATGATTTTCTTCTTAAATCAGTACGGACACGATTTTTTTTATTACTTTTGCCCAGCTTTAGTAGGCAAGTCTTTTTGTTTTGAATGAATGAAATGTGATTGTGAAATCACACAAATTAGTAAGGAATTGGTTCAGTTATAAATCATGGAATTTCACATTTGTTGCTTTCCAAGGGTGTTGTCATGTATATATTTGTTTACATCAAAAAAGTTAAATAATATCCATAGGTTATTCTTTTGTTTTGTTGAATCAGTTTTAATATTTTGGTGAAAAATAATATTTAGAGTCCTCTCAGTAACTAGGAGAATTTTATTACCTTGCTTTTGGTCTTGTGCATTCAGTTCTAAAATACATGAGTATATGGTAGATAGTGGGGCACTGTACCAAAAATGCAAGTTTTCCAAAAGTAAGGCGATGTGTTGCTGTTCAATGATCTACTGCTAGGCACAGTGTGAGTTAAAGAGAGATTCAACATCAAACTTGAAAATGACGCAAAAGTAAATAATACTGGAACACTGAATACTTTTTTGTGGTGTTCTATAACACAAGAAAATTCTAGCAGTAGTATTTCCATCAGAACCAGTGTAACATCTTTCTATGCAAGAAGGAAAGAATACTGAATGCTGTATATTAACTGCAATAGCCAGATTTAGAAGATACCTGGGTATCTCAGGTGAGAAGAGAACACTGGTTCAGATTTAACTTTGGAAGCATGGAGGATTAAAATAAGATAGATTGTGGATTTTTTTTTT